AAAAGACTTATTTCTGTGCAATTGCTATCTACTTCTTGATATTTAACTTCTGATAACAGATTTCATCTTATTCTTTAACATTATTGAACTATATGTGATTCCCTAAATAAATCAGTCCATTTTATTTATCTCTCAATAAGAAATTGATATTTGTTGGCTACCATTTACTTGGCAGCTTGTAAAGGAATAGCAAGAATAACTAATAGGAAGAATAGCAAGGGAAATCAGAAACTGTCTGATACCTAAAAACCTTTCAGATTGCTGAGAGTATTTTATTTCTGGAAATGTTGTGAACTAACTAGACAGCCAGAAAAGTCCCTATTGTCAAAATTTAAAATGCTCCTTAAAACACAAACTTTTTTTTTTTTTTTTTAGCTTCATAACAGAATTCAGAAGGGAGTACTGGTAAACATCCAAGGGTAGCAAGAGAAAAATTAAAAATTTGAGCTGCTGGTAAATGCTAAGATTTTGCCTACCCTTGGGGACTCTCTTGGATCACTGTAACTAAGGGACTTGGAAATGAAGGGTTGCACAACGCAGGAGAAAGGCCTTGGGCAAATTCAAGGAAGAAGTTGTAATTGAAAAGACCTTTACAGGAATCCAGGATATGTGAATAACATGTTCAGTGAAAGCCTACTGAAAAAATGTCTATCATTAGGAATGAGAGATGAGAAGAAAGCTTCTCTGACTTGGCTTGGTCTGGGTGCTAAGAAAAAAAAAGAAAGAAAGAAAGAAAAAAGAAAAGTATTTCTTAATCATTTGTAAATACTCTTATTTGAGAGTTTGGTTTCCCTGTGGTATTGAAACCCATAAAATGAGAAAATAACCTAAGAAAGTTGTTCTTTTTGCAAGTATTTTAAGACATCTAATGGAAACAAATGTAAAAACATCTCTGGAGGGAGGGAATCAGGGGCTCACTGTATTTGCAGAGATGAAGCCCTGAGGAATTTCTAGTCTCAACATGTACAAAATGTTAACCAGAGCATACAAGAGCCTGCAGCAACATTATTCTTGTTGAAAGGTCAGATGATTATCTCAGATAATGATTATATAAAAGCATATTTAATATGATAAAATAAATATAAAATTATATTAATATTTTTGAAAAGAAAAGCTATCAAATTGCCAGGAAGATGCAAAAATAACCTTAGAAAAGTTAAGAGTATAAAAACAGAGTATTAATAGAAACTGAAACTTCAATGGATAGTTCAAACAGAAAAATAAACATAACAAATGATAGAATGAATAGACAAATTAGAGCTAAAAAATTACTAAAAATGTAAACATGGAAGCAAAATAGATGTAGTATTTCATAGTATATGTACCACATTTTCTACATCCAGTCTCCAGCTGGTGGGCACTTAGGTTGATTCCATATCTTTGCAATGGTGAATTGTGCTGCAATAAACATATGGGTAAGGTGGTATCTCATCACTGTTTTGTAGTTCTGCTTGTAGAATTCTTTCACCTGCTTGGTTAAGTATATTCCAAGGCTTTTATTGTTGTTTGTTCATTTGTTTTGCAGCTATTGTAAATTGGATTGAGTTTTTTATTTGATTTTCAGCTTGCTTGTTGTTAGAGTATAGAAATACTACTAATTCATGTACATTGATTTTGCAACCTAAGACTGTACTGAACTCATTTTTTAATTCTAGGAGTCTTTGGAGGAGTCCTTAGGGTTTTCTAGGTATAAGATCATAACATTGGCAAACAAGAATAGTTTGGCTTCCTCTTTTTAGATTTAGTTGCCTTTATCTCTTGCCTGATTGCTTTGGCTAGGACTGCCAGCACTATGTTGAACAGAAGTTGTGAAAACGGGTATCCTTGTCTTGTTCCAGTGCTTAGGGGGAATGCTCTCAACTTTTCCCCATTTGGAATGATGTTGGCTGTGAGTTTGTCATATATGGCTTTTGTTAGTTTGAAGAGAAATTATTTTTATAGAGATAATTGGGACTTTATTAGAACTAATGGGAAATATGCATCCTCAGGTTTAATAATCTTACAAAATTATCAGAAATGTTATAATAAAACAACTAAATGTAGTTCACTTGTCCCTTAGTATTTACTGGGGCTTGGTTATATACCAAAATATGCACATACTCAAGTCCCACAGTCAGTCCAGTGGAACCTGTATGTGCCAGATGCTGGCTCACAACATACGAGTGTTTCACATACCAATAATACTGTATTTTCATATGCTTTTGGTTGAAAAAAATCCATGTGTAAGTAGACCTGCAAAGTTCAAACCTATTTTGTTCAACAATCAATTGTACTTATAAAAATAGAAAACAAAAACAAAAACGTTGCCCACAAAGAAACTATTAGATTGACAGCAGATCTCTCAAGAGCAACAAAGAAATTGTAGAAATAATCATTCAAAGAGCTGAAATTTAAACTATATCATTCAGCGATAAAAGCAAAATAAATGCAGCTATAGACAAATAAAAATTTGAAAAAAATCACTTTGGAAAATGGCTTGACAAAATGTAATAAATCAAAACATAAGCAAATCCAACAGCAAACCAATTCCATTCCTGCATATATACTCAAAACAATGTGTTCTTGTATATAATTTCAAAATATATGTACAAAAAAATCTCATAGCAACCTTAGTTTTATAGTGAACATTAATTGCAAACTACTTCAAAATTGATAAATTATGAACTATTATTATGTTATAATATTTTAGAAGGAGAATTAACTTTTTTATAATCCACAGTGTAAATTAGTCTCAAATAGATTCACAAATGAAAGAAGTCAGACAGAAAAGAATACATAGTATATGAGTTTGAAAACATGAAAATTACTAATGGTTAAGTTTGAAGAGAAGGGAAGTAATTACCACCTGAGGTGCTTATGGCAATATTCAATTCCTTGATTTAGGTGGTGATTATACAATTCTCGCTTTGTGAAAAGTTATCAAGTTGCTTGCTTGAGATCTGAGCACATTTCCATAAAATATAATTAACTTCAAAAGTTTTACTTAAAAATAGAAAAAGGATAAAAAGAAGCATTTCAACAACACGAAAGCATTGACAAAGTGCTCATCCTCACTGGTAAGAAGAGAGATATATTTTATTCAATGCCAAATAATGTTATGTGTCATTAAAGATTAATGTGAAAGAAAAGAGTGGTGAGGATTTATTCTTTCACCAAGTACTTATTAAGCACTCAGGCACCAATTACTCTTCTAGGAGCAGGGGATACAATAGTGAATGATTTGAGACCAGTTGGTCCCACCTCTGTAGATCCATCACTCTCTTAAGAGTGGTTACTGAGCCCATATGCCATCCAAAGTCTTTCTGTTAGAAAATTATCCAAGTGCTGTACTTGCTAACTCAGTTATCCACACAGAGCTCTAAGGTAAGTAATGTCATAATCATTTTACAGATAAGGACATTGAGATTCAAAAGATTATGGGATATTTCAAAGGTTAACTATTAATAGTTATCAAGTAGCAAAGACTGAATTTTAATCTACGGCTTTCTGATTGACTTAGTTGCCTTGCAGATTATAAATTATTGAATGCTTTCACTACATGAGCTACAGTCTGAATATTCTACATACCAGTATATTTTATTTTTTTATTCATGTTTCTATCTACACTCTTAAATGCAATGAAGTTATACATATAGATGTATAATAAAAATGAACAAGGGAATAATACATAGAATGATGTTTATTCTTAACTATAGGATAATATGATTAGGAATGAACACATAAAAGGCTTCAAAGGAATTGATGTTGGGCTATTTCTTAAGATACATAACAAATATCATCTTGTAATCTTTTGTGATATATATATATATATACCTTCATTAAAAATTATTTATACAATATTAATGCTAATGCAAGATTTTTTAAAAAACTAGTTCAGGTATAATACACAAATTTACAATCACAGTAGATGCCAAAGACACTATATTCTTAAAATGAGACAATTAAGTAGAAAAAGGAAAGATTAATTCAAGTGATGTTTAAAATGTAGACTTGAAAAGTTTCAATGACTTATAAAATATGGAGGATGACAAACTATGTGATGTTTAGCATTATATAGCGAGAAAGAAATTTGTCAAATACTATTTCTTTTTATTGGAGAAGTGGCTCTCAAACTTCAGTGGGCATCAAAATCACTTAAAGGACTTGGGTGAAAACTACCTTAGACTTTTTGATTTTTTTCTAGAATGGAGCCCCAAATTTTACATTTCTAACAAATTTATAGATGCTGCTGATCCAAAGGGAATATATACACTTTGAAGGATATATCTTTGCAAAGTCGTGAATAGATTCGAGGATTTGTTGCATAATGTACGGCCTCTTTCTTTATCAATGAAACCCACACATTTGTTTCTATCATGCACCCAAGAAATTTGAAAGAACCTCTCTTGAGAAGTAGGTCAAGAAGAACCTCCCAGTATAATTTATTTGCTTTTATCCTCCCTTTGAATATTTCTTGCCTTGTTGAAAAATCTCTCTTTCTTTTTCTTTGATGATATAATGCTCTCTTAATTTATTTCTTGCCAGACCCTTTAAATCTCTTTTGGCTCTGCACTCTGATGAATCCTTGCTTCTATCCTAGAGCCTCTCTTTATTCACTCTGCAAAAGTTTTTAGGAGCTCTATTCCATTCCCATGGCTGCAATTAGATTTACATACAAATAAATTAATGTTGTCAACTGTATTGAAGCATCTCATGTCCAGTTTCAAATTTTCAAAGGAGAAAGATGCTGAAAACCCTTTCTAATTATCTATCAGCATGTGGTTCTTTTTATAACCCTATCCTACAGAATCTAATTACTGTATTTGCCTTCACAGAATCATAATAATATTTAAATTATATTCTAAAATTGAAAATATTTAAATTTTATTCTAAAATTTAAACAAATGTTTGAATTTATTTAAATATAAAATAAATACTAAATAATATAATACTAATTATAAACATATAGAAATATAAATATTTTACTAATATCTACTTTCATTTCTATACCCTAAAACCAGGAAGCATGATTTTTTGTTTCATCAAAAATTACAAGAAGAGTGAGAAAGAAATATACATCTAGACATATCAAACTTAAACTGGAAAACACTAATGATAAAGAAAATATTTTAAACTTGTAAAGAGAGTAAGACAAAAATATTTCTTAAAAAGAAACAAAAAATTGACAGAATTGTCAACAGCAAGTATGGAAGCAAATGGAACAAGATATAAAAAACATTGAGAAAAAGAACTGTCAGCCAAGAAATGTAACCTCAGTTAAATATGTGGAGCAAAATAAAGACATTTTGCAGACAAACAAAAAATTTATAATCATTAAAGATAGTTCTAAAAATGTACGTCAGGAAGATGGAAAATCATCACAGTAGAAAAGTCTGAGATACTAGAAGGAATACTGATTTTTCAAAATGGTGAATTTGTGGTTAAATAATAAACAACACATTGCATAATAGGATAAAAAGGATGTTTGTATTGTGGAGTATTTATTTTAATGAATAATATACTAAATTTGACATTCTGATTCAAGTAATTCTAAATTATTAGATTGAAGGGAAGGGGAAGAATGTCCATAGACATCAAATTCCCTCTTACATATTTTTATCTTAAATATGAATGACATAATTTTAGGGTAATTACTAAGTTAATAGAAATCAATCTTATAACAAATAGAAAGATAAAAGTTATATCCAGGAAACTTTAAAAACAAACAAACAAAAGAACTAATGAAAACAATAGAAAGAAACATGAAGCAGAAAGAGAGCAATTGGGAGAAAAGCATGAGAGATAAAATGTTTAATAGAGTAAGAGTAATCCAAACACATCCATCAGCATGTCCCTTATAAAATGTCTTCAATAGAGCCCAAAGTAGAAAGGTATGTTGAGAAATTCACAATCATAGTGGAATTTTAAATAATTTCTCTTGGTTAGTAAAATATCAAACAGATCAATATCAATATACTCAATAGATATTCATAATATTTCTTTCTTTCTATTTTTCAAACACTCACACACAGTATATTATATATTTATTTTGGTACCATGGCACACTCAAGAACATTGGTCATATTCTAGACCATAAACCAAGTCACGTTTTGAAGAATTGTTAGCATATACACCACATTTACTGACCATCACACTGTTAAATATAATAACTAGAACATATATAAATATAGCTTAGACATTTTAAATTTTAATAAAACATACATATAAATAATTTATGGGTGAAGTCAGAATAAATTAATTATAAAAAATATACTTAGAATGGAGTGATAAAATGGATGTTCTGCAGGCTACAGAAATATTTACAGATAAATACATATATAGTCTTGGATATCTCTATTAGAAAGAAAGAGAGGTTAATAATGAATGAGCGAGTATCTAACTTAAAGAAGTACCAAACTAAAAAAGAAAAAAAAGTAGGGGATAACACTTATAACATAGAAGGAAGGAGAGATTAAAAACAGAAATTAGTGAAACAAAATGATATATGAAAAAAGTCAACAACATTAAAATTTCTGTGGATAGAATAATAACAATGAGAAACCTCTCACACAATAATTAAAAGGATATAATGCAGAAGATAAATATTGAAATATTTTTAAAAGTTTAAAAACAGTTCTATCAAAAAAAGATTGATTAGCCAGGGACACACCTGTAGTCATAGTTACGCAGGAGGCTGAGGGAGAAGGATCTCTGGAGCCCTGGAGTTCAAGGCTACAGTAGCTATGATTATGTGTCTACACTCCAGCCTAGACAACCAAGCAAAACCTTGTTTCTAAAATATATATGTAATATTTTAAATAACTATTATCAATATATTATAATATTAGGTAAAATTTAAAAGCTTTGAGAAAATATAAATAACCAAAATGTTCTCAAGAAAAAGTACTATATCTGAATTGTCCCATTACTTTGAAAGAACTTGAATCTCTTGTTTAAAATCTCCCCACAAAGGATAAAACACAGCCTAGATCATTTTAAATGCACATTCTATTAAATTTTTAAGAAGCAAGTATTTTCAATCTTATATAAAGAAAAGTAAACACTCTGCAACTTATGGTATTAACAACCTTGTCACCAACATCAGACAAGGACACTCATAAATATAGATGAAAATATTTAACCAAATATTAACAAAATGAATGTAACCACACATATACAACTTAGCATGTCATGATCAATTAACTTCATATAAGCAAGGTTTGCTCAACATTACAAAATTTGTTCATCACAATGATGTCGAGGACAAATATTTAAAAATTTTTTAAAAATAGAATTAAAAGACAAATATTAAGCCAGGAAAATGTATTACAAAAAGTCAACTAAAAGGGATTTATATTTTTATATAATTTCATAAAGAAAAAAACACAAATCAATAGGAAAATAAGTCTCAAAATGCACAATAGAACTTTCACAAAAAGGAAACACAATTGTCTCATAAATAAATACATATATATGTGCATATATAATATCTAGAAGTCTTAATATAGTGGTATTTAGCAAAAATAAAATGTGATACCATTTCATATCCATCATATTGGCAAATATTAAAATATGTAGCTTCTAGGTGAACATGGGGGGGGAAACAGAAATTCTCTGTATTTTTGCAAATTTTCTATAAATTTAAAATTTTTCCAAAGTAAAAAGTGTATTTAAAGAAAAGTAGCACCTATTACAGCACCTAGTACTCAGAAGGCATACAGTAAGTATTGCTTGAAGAAATGTGCTAGTGAGAATGTGGCAAAACATTCACTAACACAAGCTCACTTGTAGTGTAAATTGGTGCAGTTTTGAAAAAAAAAGTGTTCGTTGTTTGCAATGGACCTGAATGTTTGTTTTCTCAGAATTCATATGTTGAAATCATAACCCCCAGGGTGATGATACCAGGAGATAAGACTATTGGGAGAGGATTAGATCATGTGGATAGAACCCCCACAAATGACATTAGTGCCCTTATAATTTGGCGCTTGGTGAGGGTCCGCTTCTAGATTCATGGGTGATTCCTTCTAGCTGTGCCCTCACAGGGTGGAAAAAGCAAGGGGTTTCTCTAGAGTTATAGTCTGAATGTTTATATCCCCTCAAAAGGAGGTGAGAATTTTTGTCGCTGATTAGATTTTGGTGGTAGGACCCTCATGAAGAGATTAGTGCCTTTTATTTAATTTTCTTATTGTACATTAACAATTTAAATTTGTATAAATTTATAGAGTACAAAGTGATGCTATAATTTATGAATATAATGTGGAATATTTAAATTAAGCTAGATAACATATTCATTGCCTCAAATACTAAACATTTTTGTTGGAAGGACATTTGAAATTTTGAAATGTACAATATTTTACTACGTTCAACATGCTGTGCAATAGAGCTCACAAAAAAAAGAAAAAGAAAACACCCACATTTCTCCTGTCTGAGATTTTTGTGTCCTTTGATCATCATCACCCTATTTCCCCCAACCCTAAACTCTGTGACCACCATTATACTCTCTGCTTCTATGGGTTTGATTATTTTAGATTCCACATAAAAATGAGAACATGTAGTATTTGTCCTTCTATACTTGATTTATTTCATTTAGCATAGTATTCTCTAATTCCATTCATGATGTCAAAAATTATAGAATTTCTTTCTTTTTAAAGGCTAAAAAGTATTCTGTTGTGTATGTACACCAAATGTTCTTTATCTATTCATCCAGTGATGGATACTTAGGTTGATTTTATATCTTAGCTACTGTGAACAGTGCCATGGTAAACATTGGAGTGCAGATATCTCTTCAACAAACTGATTTCAAATATTTGGGGTGAAAATCCAGAAGTGGAATTACTGGATCATATAGTAATTCTATTTTTAGTTTTTTAGGAACTTCCAAAGTGTTTTTCTATAATGGCTGTACTAAATTACATTCCCACCGACAGTGCGCAAGGGTTCCCTTTTCTCAACAGCTCCAACACTTGTTATCTTTCATCTTTATGAGAAAAGCCATTCTAATAATGTGAAGTCATATCTCATTGTGCTTTTAATTTGCTTTTCCCTAATGATTAACAATTATCTCTGCATACTGCTGTGCAGATGCTTTTTAGTTTGATGTAATCACATTTGTCTATTTTTGCTTTCGTTGCCTGCATTTTGGGGATCAAATAGAAATAATCATTGCCCAGACCAATGTTATGTAATTTTCCACTATGTTTTCTTCTAGTACTTTCAGAGTTTTGGTGCAATATTTAAGTATTTAATCTGTTTTGAGTAGATTTTTTAATATGGTATGAGACAATGGTATAATTTTATTGTTCTGCATATGAAAATCCAGTTTTCCCAAGACCATTTTTTAAAACAATTGTCCTTTTTCTATTGTGTATTTCTGCAACCTCTGTCAAAAATGAGTTGACCTTACATGCATAGGTTCATTTGTGGGCTCTTTATCATGTTCCATTGGTAGATGTGTTTATTATTATTATTATTTTTTTTTATTTTTATTTTTTGCCAATACCATGTTGTTTTAGTTACTACAGCTTTATAGTATAGTGTGAATTCAGGCAGTGTGCTACCTCCAGCTTTGTTTCTTTTGCTCATGATTGCTTTGGCTATTTTGGGGTTTTGTGGTTCTACAGTGCCTTTTTTAAAAGGTTCAAAGGAGACTCCTTCTCTCATTAACCTTATGAGGACATTGCTTGAATGTACTGTTTATAAACCTGAAAATGAGCCCTCACAAGACACCAAATTTGTCTGCATTTTGATCTTAGGCTTCTCAGCCTCCTGGGAACTTCCTATAACTATGAGAAATAAATTTATCTTATTTTAAAGCTATCCAGTTTATGTCTTTTCATCATAGCAGCCTGATCAAACCAAGACATCATCCAATGAAGTTAAACATGTGAGTCCCTTAATGAACTCATTTCAAAGTGTGTTTATATCTTGAAATTGTCAGTATGCACACATGCATATACATATGCTTATCCAAGTTTTTGCTTTCTACAGGTTCAGTTACCACTGCAGTCAAATGTACTCTGAAAATATTAAATAGAAAATTCCGGAAATAAATAATTCAGAAGTTTTAAATTGTACGCTATTCTGAGTAACCTGATGAAATATTGCACCAATCATGTCTGTCCTGCCTGGAATATGAATCATCCTTTTGTTCAACCTATCCAGTACCTGTATATAGTCATAGACATTGTCACAGCTTGATGATCGAAAGAAGGTGATCCTCTTTGTAACATATTTTAAGATCAACAGTAGCCTAGCACTACACCTCCTACCTTATTCACCTCACCTCATCTCATCACCTAGGCATTGCATCATCTCACACCATCATAAGGAGAAGGTGAATACAATACAATAAAATATTTGGAGAGAGAGAGAGAGAGGTGGAGAGAGGAGGAGATCACATTCACATAAATTTTATTTAGTTTGTTGTTATAATTATTCCATTTTATTATTTAACCTTTTGTGCCTAATCTATAAATTAATTTTTATCATAGGTATGCATGTATAGGAAAAACAATATATAGGGTTCAGTACTCTCTGTGGTTGAGGCATCCACCAGGTGGGTCTTGGAACATATGGTTTGCAGATAAGGGGGGAATGCTTTATATAAAATTACAGGTATGCATATATATATTTGTATGTATATGCATAGCTAAATTTTATATATTTATGTACTTTGAATATATAATATATGCAGTATTATGTCTTAAATATATCAAACTTAGTAAAAGATATAAATAAATTATAAACTGTATATTGTTCTTATAAGGAGTAGAGTGCATTAATAATTCTTGATATATTCAAATTATATGTTCCATTGCATTGAAT